TGTTAGCGAGTAATTCGCTCACTTTTTTTCCTCAAGATCACGTTTTACGAACGAAACTTTACACGCGTTGCACTGAATTTTGGAATCTGAAGTGAATGTTTACCCACGGCAGTAAGCTTTATTGTCTTGTATCATAGTACTTGGATATCCATCAGTCTTACAACAGCACCGTTAAGTATTAAGTACAACTTGTTCATAACATACGCCAACTTATGCGCACGGTCTTTGAGTTTTCTCCTATAAGTTCAACCTCATTTGAGGTAAACGACTCCTAGGTCACTAACAAAATGAAGCTTTCGGTTTCCGTTCTTCCGTTCTACTTCAAATATCCTTATTTAAATTGATGTGTGTGGATAACTGGATAATAATGGATGAGTCTATTAATTGCCTTAATGAACATTTAATCTAGTCATATATAAAGAGAGAGTACGGTATAATACTGTATGCCTACTTTAAAAGATACTATGTGCAGAAACAAAAGAAATTTTCTCGTCCTTCACCGAGTTTTAACAACTGGAATTCATAGCCGAAGCTCCAACTTAATTAAGTTAGTGAGTAGTGTCTGCAATAACTTTAGAATTTTCCTAACGTGACTGTTTTCAAAGTTGCTAGTCGCACTAGTCATCCCTCGACAGCACACGAATGCGTTCTTTGACGGTCAGTGGCCAATATCTTTCGACGATCGGAATCAACAACTTTCCACTTATTCGTGTCAGATCGAGTTAGAAGACGAAAATTATACATGCTACTTAGCTTATATTTACGGCTTTTTTGAATATTTGTCTACAAAAACTTCAGACCTCTTATTTTATCAAGGCAGAGAAACTTTCGCAAAAACGCGAAAATCTTTAATCGATACGTCATACTAACTAACAAATTTGAAGGGATGTCAAAAGCACAGGGCCTGATAGTTGTTCTTTATCTTATTAGAATACCGTATTTATATCCAGCTCTAATGATATTCAATATTATTATTCAGGCCGTTCGTATTAGTATCCTTTCGTTATACTAGACAACTGTGGATTTAGGACTTTCACTGGGCATATAAGCTGAATTTTACAAACCTTTCCCAGCGCCTGGAGGGTAAATATAAATGCTTCAATTGAATTTCCCAACATATTTTAAAGACCCAGCTAGTTTTCCCATTTAAAACAGACAGAAATGATAATGGGGCTGATCACTAAGATCAAACTTTTGGTCTTTGTAGGGATTACAAGATTTCTTGCTCTTTAAAGGCGTACGCATTGGTCCGTAAGATAATTTTAAGCTTAAAAAACAGGTTGCTGGAGGGAGCGAACAGACGAATTCGTGGAAGCAGTTCAGACGGAGAAGATGCGATCAGTGGAAAAATGCCTTCATTGGCCTGACTTTTTGGATTTTCGGTTGAATCCATCATCAGGGGCAATCGCAGATAAGGCTAACAGATACACTAGGTGCGTGGAATTTATAGTCCGTAGGAGCCGCGCGACAAGATGCGTGCTACAATTATCAGCTCTGGCGATCACCGCTGGGGGTCATGATTGATGCGAGGTGCGGTTAAGCAGTCCACGTCAAAGCCGATAATTGTCACGATCTTATCATCCGTGTTGGATTTTAACGTGAGAATTATGTGGCATTTTGACTTCTGTCATTGAAATTGTTAGTCGCCAGTCCCCCTCCCCACGTAACTGATTGTCTTGCTCAAGCAGAGTTTCAGCACAAAATATGGGAACGGAAGGTCTTTGCATTGATTGAGTGACTGCAGGCCTGGGAACCGGAATTCGAGCAACTCGCGGCTCACGCGGTTGTCACCTCTTGCGAGTACTTCGGCTCCGTGCGACTTCAAAATGCTGCTGTCCCCCCCCCCACCGAAAGCAGTGCAATATATTCAGCATATACGCGGGGTATGTATAAATACTGCCGAATTTAAACAATATTCGGCAACAACAGGTTATATAAGCCCAAAAGCCACCACTTACTGCGGGATCGAAAAAGCGGCAGTGGAGGTAATGGGGGTTTAGGTTGGGGGCATCATCGCGGTCAAACAGCAAAATTTGTGCAAGAAAACGTAAAAAATAGTACATTTCTGTCAAATTCAGTCTTAGAGAGTGATTTTACAATCATAAAAGCAGCTCTCGAGAAAAAGAAGGAATTTTAATAGCGAAAACCAAAAACTATGCATGTCATTATATATATATGTAGTGGTTACCAAACAGATTCTTATTTCCCGTGGTTCTGAAATAAGGAATCAAACAAAACCAGACTGTGTATTTTAAACCTCTAGGGCTAATATAACCTATGTTTACCCCAATATTCGACTAACTTTATGTTTCTGGTATTCAATCGTCTCTGTATAAACTATAGACTCCTCCATCGTGTCAGCCAAGCGGTTCTTCTCTTCCATGGTGCTTTCTTCCAGACTGCCCATGTGTTTTCAGCGTAGTTGTTTTGTTAACACCTTTTTTGTCTTAATTAACAATTCTCTGTTCTTAT